TTATCATTTGGAACCTTAACTAACAGTATGGCATATGATATCATATCTTGTTGGGTTGGCCATACATATAGCATGGTGCTACAAAATAATTAAAACGAATCGGAATCAATAAAATATACTTTAAAAGAAAAATAATGTATTTTAACATTTACTTCATATAAACTAAAAATATAGAATGCTTGGAGATTGATATCGAAAATAAACACGTATTTCTAAATTCTTGTTAAAAAAAAAAAAAAAAAAAACGAGTAACAAGTGGTGTCCGTACAAAATACTGACAGCCACTTGGGGGGGCACGTGGCGGTTGCTGTCAAATAAGGGCGTGTTTGGTTAGTAGGGACGGGACCGGAGCGGAGCGCAATTAATGCAAAGGTTGTTAAGGCTGTTTTTATCTTTCGCAATTCACATGCCTCCATTATTACTTCGGCCTCCAAACAAACACCATTAACCATAAAAATATGAAAACATCATTCTCAATTTTCCCGAAATTTTTATATTCCCCTGTCTCTTTGGATTCCCGGACCCTACCCCACCCACCCACCCTTACTATCTTCATCAGCTCCATCCCCAGACTCATAGATGAACACACCACCACTGATCTCCCCTCACTTCCCTTTCTAGGGTCCCCCTTTAGAGCTGTCATATTTGGACATTCTTCTTTATCATCTTTCTTGCTTGAAAAATACGTTCCCTGATATTTCAAGAGTATATACTTTTATTAAACAATCAGTATTTGATTAAATTGAAAATAAAAAGTTATTTGCATTACACGCGCTCGATTGGACGCTGTTCGTGCAGTTAACGCACGTAAAACTGCATGCACATCTCCTTTCCACTTTTATTCTGCTGCGGGGTCCACAAAAAATTAACCTTTTGCAGGCAGAATTCTACTACATAGACTTTCAAAATTTACTCCCTCATTTATACTCCCTGAGGTGGCAAATCAGGATTGGTTATTTTCATCATGTAGGTCCACAGAAAAATGTCTACAAGATCATGTGAGAGGGAGTACAAGTTGGGAGTTTAAAATGGGAGTACACCAAGTATTTTCCTTGCAAGCATATTGAAAAAATCGCTATTTAATACTTTAATATTTAATACTAAAATATTAAATATTAATTTTTAAAAATATCTAGAGTTTGAATAATTTAGGGTTATTTCACTCAAAATTATGTCGTTTAACAGTATGTAATCGGCCGACTAGGCGACCTAGTAAGCCACCTAGACCACCTATTATGGTGATACGCAAGGCGACCGGCCAGAGCCTAGACGCTGATTAATCGGTGCCTATGCGGGATTTTTGTAACACTACTTGCAGGACAAACTTAACCTTCTCTTTCCACTCTTCTATCACTTTCATATGGCAAAAAAGTCTGCAAAAATTATTGAAAATCTTGTTGTTGTGATTGCTCTAATATTGAATTAAATATAACAAAATAATTAAATTATAAATAATTGCAGTCAAATCTTGTGGTACGAGTAACCTAAAATAAAGTCAAAGAGTTCGATCAATTGTACAAGGTACACTAGCTAGGTTCAATGGTTAATGAAGAGTGAAGTTGATACATTGCATTAGCATACTCATCCAAATAATAAAGTCAAAACAAAATATTAAAAAATACATAATGAAAGAGTTGAAATTAACGTACGTACTGGACCATATGTAATATCATATGTCAGTCCATAAAATTAGATAGTACGTATATATGAAACTAATGGGACAACCATAGCTTAAAATCAATAATATATAAGTTATTGTATTCCCATCATTATTACATGCCCAGTTCTCTGAATTTAACCAATATTGACAAAATGATTATCATTTGGCTCTCCAATGAAATTGGTGAGACAATTGACTAGGTAATAACAATGTTTCAAGTTTAAGTATTCGTAGGAGTTATCTATACATAAACGATCATAAGTGAAGTTAATTTATCTTTTTATGATCGTTTGTCGATTATGGTAACAATGTGAGTTTCATTTAGAGCGCATTTTTAGATAATCGAAGTTGGCTTTCTTGTAAAAAGAAAATGATTATCATTGCCCCAAAAAGATGTATAAGTGAGTCGAGTATGATTTCCGTACTAGAATGTCATCAATTTGATTTTTGCCAAAGTCGTATCAGTTTAGCCAATAATTTTTTTTTTTTTTGGGTGTGGTTTACAGACTATTATACATGAAAATGTTTACTCAATGCACGTGCTTAAGTATTGACTGCGAGTTTTTTTTTTTTTTTTTATTAAAAAATTGATTATTATTTTTTTTTTCAAAAATAATTATTTAATTTTTGTATGGTCAATTTTAGTTTCTATATGTTAATTGATTGATTGGATGAAATATGGTGTTATAAGAGACAGCATGAGGCCCCCACTATAGATGCATCATTCACCTTTCACCGTTACTGGAAGAGCGACTTCAACTTTGTTTTCATCTTTTTAATTATGCCCTGCTGGCTTTTCTCCTCAGGCCAAAACTTAATTATGACTTTTTAATTTAAAATAAAGTTTTATCAAATGTTTGTTGGGTCAGTATTTAATAATTTTTTTATTAATTTAATAATGTTTTTTAATAATCGACTTGAAGAGATCATTTGTGTTGAGAATTATATACATAAACATAAATGTATAATTTAACTATCATGATAATTAATTAAAAAAAGAGTTAATACCCAAAATCGTCCTTGACTATAGTGGTTTTTCTCAATTTCGTCCTAAACGACTTTGGTGACCTAATATCGTCCCAAATTTTTGTGTTTCGCTCAATTTAGTCCCAGATTTTTGTGTTTTTGCTCAATTTAGTCCCTCATTTGTTATTCTGTCCATTTTGTGTTAAATAAATAGACAATTCAGTAATTTTAATATTGGCATCTCTTTACTCATAGACATGTGAACTGCGAAATCCCTTTTTATTTTACGAATTACTCCAGAATTACTCCTAAAACTGCAAATACGAAAAAATTAAGAATATGATTGGACGAAATAAGAAGTCGATAACTAAATTTGATAGTATCACTATTGTCAATAAATTATTTCGATAGTTTACATTTATTATTATTTTAGCAAAATTAAGTTATTGAAAGTAAAAAAGAAAAAAAAAACAAACAAAACAAAAGACATAAATTCCTATAAATTCATCCACATAACTTATACTATATCTTCATTGTAATTATTAAAATGACATTAAAGTAATGAAATAAAATAGACTTAACGTGTGATTAAATTATTGCATAAATATACTTAACTCAACTTGATTTGATATTTTAAAGATTATTTTATCCTTTCTCCATGACGTTGACTACGTTGTAGGTCAATTCTAAATTGACATATATATATATATATATATATATATATATATATATATATATATATATATATATATATATATATATATATATATATATATATATATAGAGAGAGAGAGAGAGAGAGAGAGTGTGTGTGTGTGTTTTGTTCTTCTTCTTGGACTTTCTCTCACAATTAACATAGAAATTGTAGCTATTGTATGTTTCTATCTGCTTCTCTCGGAACCATGTCAACTTTGGCATTTCTCTAGGTGAAGTGATAAGCATTCATAATATGTGTGGTTCGAATCTATTAATAATAATAATAATAATAATAATAATAATATTATTATTATTATTATTAAATTTGTTCCAATTGCTCCAACTATATGATATGGATATATTTTATATTTAATTGTATCATACTATCTTCTATTGAGTATTATTAGTATTGGTGTTAATAGAACTCTTAATTTGTGACACGACACGAAAATAACGCATTCATATTTAGTCGTAATATGTTACAAGTCATTAACATATTGACTAGTTAATTAAAAACCTGTTAAAATTCACATATTAATACGTCAACTCACATAATTCATTAAAAGTTAACGTTCATATTAATATTAGTTACGATGTTTAGATAGTATTTATATTTGTATAAATATTACGGTATGTTATGAAATAAATATTTTTGCTATTTTTTTTTTTTTGAAAGTTTTGTTTTCTAAATAAAAAATAAAAAAATGTTAACATATGTAATAGGTTTAAACAAGTTATCATAATATATATATTGTATCGTGTGAACTTAAAATATATTAATTAAATATGTCATTAACCTATGTCAAAATTATATTCATATCATTATCTTGTTAGCTCATTAATGTATTTGTTTACCCAAATTGCCATGTTTAGGTGTAAACTTATTAAAAAGTAAAATTAGATAAAAGTTCTATCATTATTTTATAATAATATTGTTGTCATGAAGAATGGAGAATTATCTACATCTCAACCTCTGAGATTATCTTAACATGTAATGCATACCCGACAATATATATGTGCAATAATTAATCATAGTATTACAATAACATTATTATACTAATGAATCAAATTAAAATACGTTAAATATTATATTACATTTTAATAATATAAGTTCGTAGAAAATAGTTGCAAAGAGTATCCATTTAAAGATATTTATTGTGATACGTAGTAAATTAGTAATAACAATGATATTTGTGTCTAAATACTAAAAAACTGATTTGATGCTACGTTGTATGTATTTGTATAATAACTATGTCGACCAAGTTAAGTATAATGTATATTACAATATCATTACATACACTACCATGAGTAAACGAACCTCACTCATGTGTAATAGCATATAAACCATACATAAGAGGAAACACGTTATAAAAATTATGCTACGTGCTCGATTGAAACGGTTTTTACAGGATTAATCAATTAAATAAAATCAGGCATTTATAACAAACTTTAATACAAAAATATTGGAGAGAATTAACATGATCATATTATATATCTGGAAGATTGTAATAACTTGATTACAAAATAAAAATAAATAATATTAGATTGAATGAATTATGGAAAAGGATAATTGATAAATATAGTATATACCGGAATAAAGGACAAGATATGGTGCACCCAACCACCATATTTACATGTCTTCCTCAGCAATCTGTATAACTCACCCCTTTGTTCTTTAATGCATGGTAGGCCCATTCTCTCACTAAAAGCTCCGGGAAACACACAGAACCAGAGAGGGAAGGAAGAAGAGGAAATGGATGGTCAGCGGCCGGGAATTCTCTCGCCATGCAGCAGTGGAAGAAGAAGCGGGGATGCCACCTCGCCGGAATTTGAGTTCTGGATGCTCCGGAACCCGTCTTTCCCTCAGCCCAACCTTCTCTCCGCCGATGAGCTTTTCTCCGATGGAGTCCTGTTACCGCTTGATCTCCTCCCGCAGGAAGGTAACGCTTGCTCCGATGAGTCTCCGGGAGAAATTTTTGGGTCATGTGATACTGACCCGCCGGAAACGTCCGGGTCGACCCGACCCGGGGTTTCTGCGGCGGCGGCGGTGGACGGGTCGTCTGGCGGCGGCGGCGCCATGGTTGGCGGTTCGAAGCGGTGGAAGGATATTTTTAAAAAAGGGGAGAAGAAGGAGAAGAAGGGAGCGGTTGAGGAGAATGTGAAGGAGAAAGAGAAGAAGGAGAAGAAGGGCGGCGTGATTGGACATAACGGGGCGAGCGCGGCGGAGCTGAACATAAATATCTGGCCGTTTTCGCGGAGCAGATCGGCGGGGAACAGCGGGTCGCGGCCGCGGTTGGGGGCCGCCGGATCCGGGTTGACTCACCGGAAAGTGAGTAGCGCGCCGTGTTCGCGGAGTAACTCAGCGGGTGAATCCAAGTCGAGAAAGTGGCCGACCAGTCCGACCCGAGCCGGTGTCCACTTGGGCCGGAGCAGCCCGGTTTGGCAGGTCCGCCGTAGCGGCGGAGCCACCACTCGAACCACCGAAAATCTCTCAAAAGCCGCCGAAAAGGCTCTCAAAAAGGAACCAAATGCCGATAAACCCGTAAAAAAAGACAGCAACGTTTCTAAATCCATCAAAAAAGAAGGAAACGACTGCCGCCGGAAAAACCCATCCGCCGTCCACGGCGGCGCACCCAAAGCTCGAGTCTTGAACTTGAACGTTCCGATGTGTATCGGATACCGACACCATCTAAGCTGCAGAAGCGACGAAAACAGTACCATTGCAGTCGCCGCGGCTGCAGCCGCCGCCGCCGCATCTGAAGGCGGTCAAAACGGCGGCGGAGTTCCCGGCGAAGCAGTACGCGGCAGTAATTTATTTAATCTCCGAAATCTCTTTACCAAGAAAGTATATTAATAGGGTAATTAATCTCTGTTTATCTTCTTAATCACTCCCCTGTTCTAGCTTAACTCCATATATGAATGTATGTAGATTTCTAACTTGAAATTTGATGATCTACTTTTTGTAATTTGTGGGTTCTTATTATGTAAATTTCCTAATTAATCGCTTATATAATATAATTGTGCTTACTGATATTAGTAACATTGAGTAAAAACATTTTTTACTGCTTTAGTGCCTTATTCTTCCGATGAAAGAGGTCAGATTTTCTGACCATTTTTTTACCCTGTTTGAAAATGGTTTGTGTGGCGTCACCAGATCCAGTCCGGAGCAGAGAAACAAATACCTCAAAAAAAGATTTTTTTTTTTTACTTCATTATACGTAGTATAAAATTAAGATTTTATTTTATTTTTTATTAGATTTAGAGGTGATAATCCAGTGATTTCTTTCAAAACATTCCATTTGATCTTACTCTTATTGTGACAGATTATTTTTGGTCATCTATTATGTTAAATTAAATACAATAACATTTAGGTTTTCAAGTATTAATTGTTTTAAAAAAAATTATGAATTTTAAAAAAATAAAATAAATTAAAATGATAGTGGGTCAACTTATTTTGAAAAAAAAAAATCAAAATATCATTGTTCTTAATGGCCATGGGAGACCGAACCCATGTATGGTAAAATACCGGTATGACTTGTGATTATTTGTAAAGTGAGACTTATTTATTCCTCAATTGTTGCAAAGTAGCTTTCTTTATTCTTGAGTTTGTTATGATTACGTTAAAACTCTTATTTATAAACAATCAAAAGATTTTTATAAAAAAAAAGTTATTTTTAAATAAATAAAGGACGGAAGTGATAACGATATAATTAAGGGATAAAAATTTGTAACTTATGAAAAAAGTATGAATGAGATGACATGTTTTTTTAGTTTAACCCAATGTTTTAGATGTGTTTTATCAACCTTTAATGTTATATTTGGTATGAACAAAATTAGTCTCAATTTGTGGTATCTTAATGCATTTTAACGAAAAACTTATAGTAAGATAAAAATAATGATATTTTTTTATAATTTAGAAATGAAAAGTGTTATGATTATTTCTCAAAAGTAAATTAAAAAAGAAAAACTTTGGGTTAAAAAAGGTTAGGTTAGTGAATAGATACATCATATTTGTAAGTATTGGGAGATTAAATTCAAAAAGAAAAACTTGGGTTAAAAAAGGTTAGTTTAGTGAATAGATACATCGTATTTGTAAGTATTGGGAGATTGGGCCCACTAAGAAGCCCATAAAGCAAGGTACATATGCACATTCACTTTTCAGGCCCGACTATGGCATCTCACATCGTCTCCAGGTTTTTTAGTTGGGTTTGGTATACGTTTGTTGAGATACTTTACGTACAAATATAAAATTTATTTTCGTTTATTTTATATTACGGAATAATTTAATATATACAAATACATTTTTTTATTTTTTATTTTTGTATCAAGTGGCTTGTGGTCCACTGATATCCGGTTAGACGAGAGTTTGAGTCTCAATGTAGGCGTAGATCGTATATTGGATATCCTCCTTCATTTGTAATAAAAAAATACATTTTTTTTTGTCATAATATATAAGTCGTGAAAAAGGAAATGTAAAAGACTCACGAAAAATTATATATTGAAAGGGAGAATCAACGGTTTGGTCCCTCAGTTATTAGCGAACTGTCAATATAGTCCCTCAATCGCTTATTCATCAATATGGTCATCAAAAATAATTATTTTTAGTCAATTTAGTCCATCCGACCGTATTCCGTCAATAATCCGACGAGAGCTCCGATTTACCATAGGCAATTTGACTAAAAAAAGAATCTATCACCTTCTCCAGTGGAAAGGCGAGGAACTACCTTTCATCGCAGAAGACAACTGGGCTGCCTTCTCTGGTGAGAAGGCAGCTCAGTGAGTCTAGAGTCTACATGCAAGAGTAAGCCAAGCTAACTAACCTATGCCCACAGTATTGCGCTAGCTTGGTTTGATTAGAAAAATCTCCCGATCACCTTAACTTACTCTACAAGAATTTGCAAACGAGAATGACATATGTTGCTTTAGTCATCTAGTGTGTCCTCTAACTAATGGACCTCAACAGCCAACAAAAAGACGCCATGTCAAATTTACTCGTAACTAGCATGTTATTTATGGAATCAAGAGATAAATATAAAAAATTTTCATCAAAGAAAATACTAACAAATAAACTTAAAATGAGAAAATAACATTCTTTTATTTTTTCTATTAAAAATATTTGACTTGAAGCATTTAAAAAAAAAAAAAAAAGAAAATCACTGCCCAAATTAAATCTACAGCGACTATTTATCATTTTATCCAATCCGCCAACAGTTTCAACAGGCTGTCATTTTCTTGATGACTGTCTAAGTACTGTCTAACAATCTTTCTTATCCTCGACGAACACTACCTGGGAAGAGCCAAAGAAGAAGGATCTAGGGTTTAGGATCAAACGACCCTCCCTCCATTCTCACCAAAAACTCCATTTCCATGCCCCTCAGCTCCAGCTCAGATCCTCCAGAAGACGCGTATCGTATGCCCACCTACCTTACTATTTACTATGCATTCTATTGCACCACCTACATTTCCATTTCATTCCGCCCTTTAATCCCTGATAGATGGATTGATGTACTCTCTTAGCAGATCTATTGTATCAGCGCCCGCGAGCAGCAATCTGACACCTTTGGATTGGGCCATAGAAATTAGAAACCCATTCTCGTCTTTGATTGTTCCATGGCCAAGACCAGACCTGGGAAACGAGACTTGGACTCTTACACCATTAGAGGCACTAACAAGGTTGTCAAAGGTATACGCATTCCCATTTTTTGGTGTATTATCAGTGTGGAAACCTATAATGGGTAGGTAAGCAAGTGCACTAGGCTGGGCTACAGCTATGCTGCCTCGATCACTGGTGTTTTTTTTTTTTTTATTTTTTTTTTTATTGTAGGAATGTAATAGTGTTTTGGTTGTGTTATCTGGTTGAATTAAACCTTAAAGTTATCATCTTTAGTAAATTGTTGTTGGAAACAAAAGAATGGTGGTTAGGCTTGAATGTTGTGCATTGGTGGAAAGCATGCATGTTGAGAATAGCTATGTGGTTTGGCCCTCTTGGGTGTCTGGAATTGTGCTGACATCTCTTTTATGGCTAAATTTCGTTTGATTCTATCCTTTTGATTGATTGCAGCCGAGGTTTTTGTGGAAATGCCTCACTGGGTATTTGTGGCCCTTTGATTAGCTAGATGCATGCATGGATGTTTTTGTTTGTGCTATTAATAACACTTCTTGTTCCTCCTGAAGTGCATGTTAGCTGAAAATTTGTGTTTTTTTCTTTGTAAAAGGTTGTGGACATAAGCTTAGTTTTGCTGATGTTTATGTATTTGGTAGTTGGGTGTCTACACATTTAAAAAATTCACTTTTTGTTCATTCTGAAGTGAATGTGAGCTGCAAATTTTGTGTGTGTGTTTTTTGGTTGTCAAAGGTTGTGTACATGGGTTTATTTTTGCTAATGCTTATGTTCTTGCTACCTAGTTGGGTGTCCAAACATTTAAAACACATTAACAAGTCTGCATATGTGTCTGTTTATTAGGTGCACACAATTTCCTATTTCTTTTTGAGGGATTTCGTGTCTTTCTGTTCCTGATATTTTGTGATTTCTATTTCAGAATATAGGAAAAAAAGGTGTTGGCTTTTGTAGCTACCTCTTATATGTTGCCTCGATCTTTTGAGAATCTGAAAATCCCTCACTTTATATATAAGAAGTGTGTATATCTAGCTGATGATTTATATGAAATGACTGAATTTGAGTCTTTAAAAAAAAATTATTTGAAGCTGGAGACTGTGTGTTGATGCGCCCTCCGGAAAGTGGCACTGCCTCTTATGTGGCACGAGTGGAGAAAATCGAAGCTGATAATCGGAACAATGTGAAAGTACGGGTTAGGTGGTATTACCGGCCAGAGGAGTCAATGGGAGGGCGACGCCAGTTTCATGGAGCGAAAGAGTTATTCCTGTCGGACCACTATGATGTTCAAAGTGCTGACACTATAGAAGGGAAGTGCAGTGTTCACACTTTCAGGGCCTATGTTAAGCTTCAGAACGTTGGGACAGAGGATTACTATTGTCGATTCGAGTATAAAGCTGCAACTGGAGCTTTCATACCAGACCGTGTTGCAGTGTAAGCGTTACGTGATTTTCTTTGGTCACTCGTTGTTCAATTTGCGTTACACATTTGATTATTAATTATCCGTGGCTTCTGTTAAAGGTATTGCAAGTGTGAGCTTCCGTATAATCCCGATGACCTGATGGTACAATGCGAGGAGTGCAAGGACTGGTACAGAAATATATATTCTGAATACATTATGTTAATCGATTATCATTTTAAATTTCTGATCTGTGTGCTAATTTCATCCTCTGGAAATCGAGATAGAAAGGAAATAAGAGCTTAGAGGCCAATCACTCTACTCTCTTAAGCTTAACAACTTCTAAAATGCTGTGATGGAAGTAAAATGATTGTTTTTGCAGAGATTACAGTACACATAGAAATCCTCGAAGCATATTTTTTTTGTCTACATCATATGATTCGTTTATAACAGACCCCCGAACCCCCCTTTCCCTTTTTGGGTTCTGGTGTCAAATTAAACACCGATCCTTCTAAATAGGATTTCCGTTTCTTTTCAATTAGGTCATAAGGTTTTGGGTTTTCTTTGTTTCTCCAATCTCGTTTAAAGTTGCTGTCTTCTTCACAGGTATCATCCTGTCTGTGTGGGCATGTCTGTCGAGCAGACAAAACAACTCGATCAATTCGTTTGCTCTGATTGTGCATCCGATCAGAATGTGAAAAAGCCCCAGAACTCAGATGATGCTTCTCGAATAACTAGTGGCAAGGTAGTTCTCAGCTCGCTGTTCGCAGTTTTGGCTAGTCTCGCTTGTCCACTGATCTACTTAAATTATTACTCCGTAATAATATACACACCTAGCTTTTACGGTTGATGGATTATAGTCATGATTTTTTATTACTGTTATGTGGACCGTTAATGTCATACATCATACAATATATACACAAGATTTAAGTACTCTTACGTCATTTGGGGCACATTTCACGTGTGATATGATCCGGGAGTATAATTGTTGAATATTGTTACAGGTTGAGCCCAAGCGGCAGAAGAGGTAGGCTGAAGAGTGGCGAGGCGAGAAGATGGTTCCATTGCGGTGGGTGTTTTGTACTGTGTACAGTGCAGAGAAATGGAAAACGCGACATCTCATCTCTTCTCTGCTTTAGACTATAAGCCTCTGTGAGTAGTGTTTTCGCGAGTGTAGTTACAGTAGTAGCCTCCGATCCCGTACTAAATGTATGCTGTTGTGTACTATCTAGTAGCTAGGGTTGTTGAAAACTATGTTGTTGGATACACTCTTTGGAATTATTAATTAAACCAGTAATTCAGCTAGAATTATTCATGAACTCCATATGTTCTTAATTAACCTTAATTTCTGCAAAAGTTGATGCTCTATATGTATCATTTGCACAGAGATTCTCATGCAATGTGTGGATCAATAAGAGCATATGTTTTGTTGAACCATTTTGAACAGTTGATGATGTCTGTGTAGCTTTGAATATACGGAGTAATATGTAATGCATGCATGCAATAAATTTAATAATTTGCATGCATGCATGCCTTGGTTGAAGTCCACGAAACCCTAGCTTCTCGTGATTTAATTATAATTATTAGAGGCTATCAACACCTTTTACCCTTCATATATATATATATATATATATATATATATATATATATATATATATATATATATATATATATGCTTGGCTGGCTGGTCTCCTCAAAAGCTAGGGTTTCATCTTCACTCCAAGTGATCAACTAATATCCCAAAAACCCTAGCTCTAACTCCACCATTTTGATCCGTTTAAGAAGGAATTGTATATACCCTAGCATTGAGTATAGTATAATACAAAATATAAACATGTATGTCGATACAGAACACATAATTCATGCATAAACAGAAAACATGAGACTATATATGATGTAATAAAGTGTTAAGACAAAACACGTGAAATTATATTCTTAAGATATTACGTCTCCAATGATGACACCGTGTTCCTAAGATATACGAAATAGCTAGCTATTTTCCATATTTCCTTTCTGGCTGAAGCTTTACAAAAGGCTGATGTTAAGGAAACAGACCGTAACGGCTGCAGATTCAAATTAAACAATGTAATATAACTGAAAACGTTGGTGTAAATTAAAGCTGGCTTTGTTCACGTTAACAACGTTGTACTTTATGGCATAATTATTGGTTTTTCATGTGATAGTTGTTGGATTACAATTAAGAAGAATCCAGCAGGATTATCGTATGTATGTGATCCGGTCCGGTCTTCATATTGATCATCACTACCATTTTCAAGTAAACAGCAAATTAATTAAGCCTTGTAATTACCGTTTAACCATCATGGCTTCTTCATCACTTCACCAAAACCTCCATCTTCTGCTACTCATCTTTCTAACATTCATCCCTCTCAGATGCATAGCAGAAGAAGATCGAGAGATATATTTAGTCTTGACAGAAGGAAACCCCGTCGCATTTCGTCATGGCAACAACATGAAACTTGAACAAGGGAAGAATCTTGATCCTAGCAGGTAATTAATTAATTAGTTCAGTGAAGAAATTGAAGATTTATTAATGTTCTTGGAAAGTAAATAGCTGTTTTGATTCTTTTTTATTTTTTGGTGTTGACTAGTGAAAGTTCAAAGGCTTATGCAGCAAAGTTGACAGAATCCCATGATGAGTTGTTAGAGGTGAGTTTGGATAGGGGAAGCTATAACAAGATTTACAGCTTCAAACACATTGTAAATGGCTTTGCAGTCCACACAACCCCTTCTCAGGTAATCATCAAATCTACAAAATAGTTGAGGTAGTATAAATCTTGGTAAATGGATTTTTATATTTTGCCCACAAAAGGCGAAACTCGCTTGCCCTAGGGCCGACAGGATAGTGGAGAGGTAAATCACGGTAACTCAGCCACACATTAGGTGTGAGGACTAGTGTCTGGTGCCCACACTGCGGCAGGGCTTGATCTTGTGTCCTTACCCACAATCTCGCCCCCAGGGCTCCCACACCCAGCTCGACAAGATAGTGGAGGAGTAAATCACGGGGACTCAGAGACCCAATAAGTGGGAGGGCGAGTTTTTGGTGCCCACACTATTGCTGTTAGGGCTTGATCTTGTGTCCTTGCCTACAATCTATCACCCAATAACCAACTAAGCTGCTCGTGCAGCTGACCAGGATTTTTGTTTTGTTTTGTTTTTGAGCAATATGTGTTTCTGCAGGTGGAGAAGGTGAAGAGATTGCCAGGGGTGAGGTTAGTGGAAAAGGACAGAAGGGTTAAACTCATGACAACCTACACTCCACAGTTTCTAGACATGGCATCAGCATGGAGTCAAGAAGGGGGAGACAGAAATGCAGGTGAAGGTGTAGTTATTGGATTTGTGGATTCTGGCATCAACCCATTGCACCCCAGCTTCAGCTATGATCCTGCAAATCCGTTTTCGTCGAAAGTATCCCATTTTTCTGGGGACTGTGAGGCAGGCCCTCTCTTTCCTGAGACTGCCTGCAATGGGAAGATTGTGTCTGCTAGGTTTTTCTCAGCTGGTGCACAGGCTGCTGCCACCCTTAATGCCTCCATTGATATTCTATCTCCTTTTGATGCTGATGGCCATGGAAGGTAGTAGGAGAAATCTGCATCTCTTATTTTTCTTCACAATATATATGACATTTCTTATGAAAAGTATCAATTTTGCAGCCATGTTGCTTCAACTGCTGCTGGGAATTCTGGAGTTCCTGTTGTGGTGGATGGCTTTTATTACGGAACAGCCAGTGGAATGGCGCCTCGAGCAAGGTTTTTCTTCATCTGTTCTTCGATATTTACTAGTTTTCTCGACAAAATATGAAGTCATTTTTCTTGACAGGATTGCTGTTTATAAGGCTATTTATCCAACAGTGGGAGTTCTCTCAGATGTCTTAGCAGCTATTGATCAAGTGATTATCAATTCTGAAGCTCTCAGTTCAGAGTTTTTTTTTTTGGGATCAACTGTAACTATCTGTCATCATATTTTGCAGGCAGTGATAGATGGAGTGGATATCTTATCACTCTCAGTAGGTCCAGATGAGCCACCAGGACAGGCTCTCACATTCTTGGCACTTTTCGAGATCTTCATGTTGGCTGCCCATAGGGCTGGAGTTTTCGTCGTTCAAGCTGCTGGGAACCACGGGCCTGGTCCTTACACCGTGATCTCTTACAGTCCGTGGGCTGTGGGGGTTGCAGCCTGTGACACAGACAGAAGTTTCCCCGGGACTCTCATTCTTGGTGACGGTCAGAAGATCAGTGGAATAGGCCTGTCAGGTCTGTGTGAATTGAAAAGTTTGGTTTTTTGGTTAAATTTGACAGATTCCTGAGAATGGGATTGTTTTTTTTCTTAGGCTCGACGTTGGGTAGTGGAGTTCTTCGATATAAGCTCGTTCTTGCCAAGGATGCAGTGAGGATAAACGGGGCGTTTCCCAGAACTGCAGAGTACATAGAGGAGTGTCAGTATCCAGAGGCATTAGACCCTTCTGTTCTTGCAGGAAGTTTGGTGATCTGCAGCTTCTCAGCTGGCTTTTCCAATGGATCATCTAGCCTAACAGCCATAATACAGACTGCAAAGGCTCTTGGATTCTCGGGATTTGTATTTGTTGCGAATCCAACCTATGGTGACTTCATAGCTCAGCCTCTCCCCTTCCAAATCCCCGGGATTATGATCCCCAGAGCTGCTGATGCACAGGTACTAAAAGTCTGAAACATACCAAATCAGAATGGGAATTTAATTTTCGCCTTTTCTTGACAGATTATACTGAGCTACTATGAAAAGCAGACTGCCAGGGACAACAGAGGCTATGTAACGAAATATGGCGGGAGTGCAGCCATAACCGAGGGAAGAATTGCTTCTTACACAACCCGAGCTCCCGTTGTTAGCAGATTTTCTTCCAGGGGTCCTGATTTCAGTGATCAAACCAGGAATCCAAACGATGTACTTAAGCCCGATTTATTGGCTCCCGGGAACCAGATTTGGGCAGCTTGGAGCCCCATGAGTGTTGCAGATCCCATTCTATCTGGTAAACCTTAATATCTGAGTCACTTCTTCATATGCAAATGTTGTTGTTGTTGTCTTTTACATCAAGAATGATGTTTTTAGGACAAAACTTCGCTCTGATCTCGGGGACGAGCATGGCAACGCCGCATGTTGCTGGCGTGGCAGCGCTCATCAGGCAGCAGAATCCCTCGTGGACGCCATCCATGATAGCGTCGGCCATGTCAACCACTGCCACCACTCAAGACAATCTTGGGGAAACCATGATGGCTCAAGGGTCTGAGCTCTACAGCTTGCATACTTCTGCTCCTTTTGGTTTTGGCTCGGGCCTTGTCAATCCCTCCCGGGCACTCGACCCCGGGCTCGTCTTCTCAGCAGGCTTCGAGGACTACATCGGGTTCCTCTGCTCTCTCCCCGACATCGATCCTGAAGTGGTGAAAACCGCGACTGGGGGAATCTGTGGTGGCATTTTTGACCACCCTTCTGACCTCAACTTGCCTTCGGTGACCATTTCAGCTCTAGCTGGATCACGGGTGGTCCACCGGAGGGTCTTGAACGTTGCCAGCAAACCCGAGAGCTACCTGTGTGCCGTGCTGCCTCCAAAAGGAGTGGCGGTCGATATACAGCCATCTTGGTTCAGAATACCCCCACAAGGAACTCAAGATCTGCAAATAAGGCTTAATGTGAGCCTGGCAAGTGAGGACTTCTGCTTTGGTGAAGTTACCTGCACTGGAAGCTTGAATCATATCATGAGGATTCCCTTGTCAGTTTTGCCCATATCCGCATTCCAAACCGAATAGAAATCCTCTTCTGAACAAGCTCTGATACCATGTTTCTAACATTGGGTCAATGCCCCGGCCCCAGGCCAAACCATATTAAAAAGATTGAATCGAATCACTTAGCTAGTCTAACTCATAATAAACTCTTATTTTTCAATGCGGGGCTCTTAATCCCGATTTGAAGGTATCAAGATTAGCTCAAAAGGTAAATCAAGCAATCAATGAGTCTCCACAGCAACATCCAACTAGGAATGTAAATGCAGCAAGAAATTTGTCTGCAGATATAATGCCTATATTGAAACTCCCAAGTTCTTACAAAACAGGAAACTGCAAAATAATTACATATTTGATATTTCTTCTTTGGCTCTTTGCATATAAGATGGTAAGGTATCCTCTATTATTCGCTTTTTTTATCTGTCGAAATTACTTACAAAGTTGCAAAAATTTATAGTACTTATAACGGCATGTCAGTAGAATCATGGTCTGGAGTCCTGTATGAAAATCCATGTTCATCGCTCGATTGTCTCGTGACCACACTGGCTCTTTGCACTAGCCGGACAAGCGC